TATCACCCAAATGGGGAACTCATCTGAATAAAGCTCTGGTGCCCAAATTTAAAAAAAGAAAAAAGTTAAAAGTTAATTGGAGTGAAGAAAAGAGACATGAATATTATTTTGAAGGTGAAGAAAATTATTCCAAGGTAGAAACATAAAGGGCTGAAGCTGTTCATTTTAGTTGAAAAAGACCAAGAGGCAATTTGAGTGTACTTCACAGGAAGGAACTATTTGTTACGAAATGGCTATCAGGAAAATGGTACAGAAACGGGTGACCAGAACCAGAAGCCAGTTAAATTTAGAAAGATAGATATTTTTCTTCCCGTAAGAACCAACCACTGAATTAACCAAGAGGAACAGTAGAATTACAAGTATTGTGTCTAGAAATCAGCTAGATCTAGGTGTTTAAATCAAATTTGGATGTCTCTCCGATACATGGATTTAGGTAAACACAACTCCACACATGTACTGAATGCCATGTAACAAAACAGGAAATTGAAAGGGGGTGATAAAATATTGCTGCCTGGTTGGAATTCAGGCAGTGTAAGTCAGTAATTAGGGACTTCATACCTCAAAGCAGTAGCTGCCAAAAATGTATTTTTCTTTGTTTGCCTGTTGGAAACAGGAGGTTTTACTCTGTTGCTGAATTCTTCTGGTTTTTAAAATTCTTCTGAATCAATTTAATTAGTTTCTTTCAAAAGCTTTAGGAAAATAAGGTAAATTTCTGTAGTACACATGGGTTTTTTTTCCTCTTAACATATCAGTGAAATACACTGCTCCCTGTGGGTAGGACAGTCAAAATCCATGGGTATTAGTAAAATGGATAGTATTTTTATTTTTAGGATTATTATTTCAGATGAGGTTGAAAAATGTGCCTTTGACCTCAAAATTATTTCCCTAGTTTTACAATACAGACATTAAAGCATTTCCTACAGACATGTACTGTGCTTTTTTGTTTGCTTGGGTTTTTTTTCCTCCAAGAACAACAACAGGCATGCAGACAAGTGAGAGAAGGTCTTAGGTTTGGTTTTGATTGGGGGTTTTGGAGGGGTGTTGGGGGGTCAGTGTGGTTGTTGTGTCGTGTGTCGTCGTCCCCCCCCCCCAGTGTAATGCTAACACTTGAGCTTCTTCAACTTACCCACTAAGCTACACAGCTAAATGCCCTAATACCTTGCCAGTCTGCCTTATAAACAAAGAATTAAGGCATGGAGGTTACAGTTCAAGTTCTACTAACTATACAAAATATTGGTTAATTATTCATTCCCATGATCGCCTTTCTGTTCTTTATAGCCTTAGTTACCCCATCGCTACACAGCGCTTCCCATCGCAGTTACAGCAACATCGGTGGCATTGAGCACACCACAACCACAGGCAGTACTTACCCTGCCTCACGCTTTGGGGCTGCAGCAGGTACAAGGTACCGGCTGTCACCCTTTTTTATTTATTTGCTATTACCACATATGTGGGAAACAACTTACAGCTGGTAAATTAGGAGCAATCTATTAACCTGGCTTCGACTCCTAAGCACAGTTTCTGGCTGTTTCCCTGAGAAGAGCCTAAATTCCTCCCCTGAAGCTACTTATGTACAAAGGGATGGAAGATAATCAGGTTTCCCACCGGGCAGCAGTGAGATATTGCTTGGTATTGCCGTTATAAAGAACTAGATAGACGCAAGGTGTTTTCAATCCTAAACTGGCTTCCCCCAGGGCGGCACAAGGTTTATGGGCAGCTTGCAAGCGTGCGGAGAAGGGGAAGCCTACGTGCTGATGCCTGGTACCTGTTTCAAAACTGCTACTTGAGACTTTATGGACCGAGCAGGCGGGCTGCAACGCGCTGGAGTAAAAACAAGGCGACGGCGCCTGGGTGAGATAAAGGGAATCGCAAGAAGCCTTCTCTGTAAACCTCAGATTTGCACGATTTGCTTCCCCCACCGAGGAGGGGAAGTGCCGTAGAATAAATGCAGACGTAGACAGATATCTTGGGGAAGAGTCCCGATTTCCTCTGCAGCTTGTTCACACGGCTTATTTTGTCGCACAGTGATGCAAGCCGCGCTCAAGTCCCCCTCCCGAGATCGCTCTAACAGCCGCCGCCGCCG